GAAACCATTATTAGTCTAGTTCAGAAACTTGACATATTATGAAACCATTATTAGTCTACTTCAGAAACTTGACATATTATGAAACCATTATTAGTCTACTTCAAAAACTTGGCGTATTATGAAACCATTATTAATCTACTTCAGAAACTTGACGTATTATGAAACCATTATTAGTCTACTTCAGAAACTTGACATATTATGAAACCATTATTAGTCTACTTCAAAAACTTAACGTATTATGAAACCATTATTAGTATACTTCAGAAATTTGACGTATTATGAAACCATTATTAATATACTTCAGAAACTTGACGTATTATGAAACCATTATTAATCTACTTCAAAAACTTGACGTATTATGAAACCATTATTAGTATACTTCAGAAACTTGACGTATTATGAAACCATTATTAGTATACTTCAGAAACTTGACGTATTATGAAACCATTATTAGTATACTTCAGAAACTTGACGTATTATGAAACCATTACAACATTTTCTTCACAATGTTTCTATCCTTTGTTCTAATCCAATGGGTTGAAAAATGCTTTTAAATTCAAACTTCATAAAAATAAATTACAACCTCAAGGAAAAGTATTTGAGCATCAAAAAAAATTTTTTTTAGCATTTACATACAACAGATGACTGTTGACAAATATTTTTCACAAAGATATATATGTATCAAAAAAGGACACCTTTTTGTAAGTTATAATTCGTTTGACTGTAAATAGGTCTTCATCACTAGAGTCACTGTTGTTATACAAGTAATTCAGTGCTTCACTTGCTGGTTTTGAATCTTCTTTGTACTCTGCTTCACTGTTACATAAAATCCTGTCAACTGAAACACTTTTATCCATAGCTTTCTTCTTAGCAGCCTGCTGTTTTAAAGTTTTTTGAAGAAACCGAACTCTTGGAGTCACGGCAAGACCAAGCGACCTACAAATTAACCAATTATTCAAACTGAATGTTCAAAACAGAGATGGAATACTGAAAAATACATATTATAAATATCTAATGTTTGTTACTAATATTTGCAAAAGGTTAAGTATGGACTACCTGCATGAGCCACCCATAATTTTGATCAATACACTAGAAAGAATCCAGCTAGCCAACAGTGCCCACCTCCAAGTTTTGGCTTATCTGATAGAATATTAAGAGTTGATTGTCATTTTTATAATGTGTGGAATATTATTATTTTTTTCAATTACAAACTATGGATCCTTGAATCATGAGTCCGATGCACTAATCACTAGATCCACTCTGCCCCCGAGAAAATAAAAACTAGCCACAGTGGTATTTGAACTCATGCTCTTAACAACCAGCAAATATCTTCTTAGTCAATAATATTATAGCAGTACTAATATAATATTAAAGTTAGGTATAGACTGGATGGCAAATCTAGAACACAAAAACTAATTCTTTTCACACAGTACTGAAATATTATTAAAAACAAACTGTATTCAAAGTTAATGCCTAGCAAAAATAGCCAAACTTACTAACAACTGAAACTACACAATATTCAATTAACAATCACTAAATCTA